GGAACTTATGGTTACATCTAGACAATTCAATTGTAAAATGATGAGACCTAGTTGCCAATCTAGTACTGCGCTCAAATTCATAAAGTCTAGGTGTCATAGCGAAAAGTAATATTTATTTTGGAAAATACAAAAATGTGGCTCGGCGCCAAAAACGGGGAGAGGGGAAGGCTGGTCTTTAATCTGTCTTATCTTAAACTTAGATAGCCACGATTCCTGACACAAACATACCACAGTATTCCTTACATCTATACAACGCATTCTTACTTACCATTCTTACTACAGTCACCATAATACCACAGAGTCTCTATGTAGTCCTAACTAGTTCCCATAGGTACAATTTGTCTGAGTGTCGCGAATAAAAAATAACAATTTTGAAAATGGAACCCCAATGAATACTCTCAATGATTCCATACGGGAAAGTTCATCAGATGAAAGTATTTAAAGGAAAATCACACGAAAGCAACCTTTCGGCGATGGGAAAGTGATTGAAGCCGGGATGCCAGGTCATCATCAATAACATTGCAGATGCTTCTTTTGAATTTTATCGGGAATCTCTAAGAATATATCAGGAGCACCAGAGCAAATGTGGCAGCAATATTCAATGCATGAGCGAATGGTAGACTTATAAAGATGTAAGAAAGATTTTGGAGAGAAAATTTGTCTAGCACAATGAACCAAATTTTCTAGCAGGAATCCTAGCAACTAATTCGATATAATCTTTCCACTTTTTATTTGGGGAAAAGGTTATTTAAGTAATAAACGGATAAAAATGTTTCTGGAAAATTACAAGTAAAAAGGTAGAAAGCTTAGCAAAGCTTGGAGAGAATTATCGTAAAGTCTTTGATAATATGTGGAACTCTGGTGACGTTAAATCTTGGGAAATCTACACCGGACCATATATGGCAGAAATATTCAATGCATAGATGAATTGTAAACTTATAAATGTGTAAGATAGATGCTGAAGAGAAAAATTGTCTAGCACGAAAAAGGGAACAAATTTTTCTAACAGCAACTCAAGCAATAGATTCAATATAATCATTCCACTTTATATCTACGGAAAACTTTAAGCAATGAACGGATTTTTTCTTTCTCATTCAAAAATTTATATTTTTATTATAAACGTTATTTTCGTGTGTATACGTATTTGCATAGATGTACCTGTTTATTTACTAACTGAAAAATTAATATCTACTGGCCAAGATCATCGAATGTATTTTATATAAAATAAATGTGAATGTCAGTGTGTCACACATTTTCAACTTTACCCCTAGAGGCCGTAACCCAACATATCATACCATTTTGGAATCAGGCCGACCTCCGTGAATGAATTAAAAACATTCCTGGACAGATCTAGACCCCTAATCCTCAATTTTGGATTCCCAAGTTTTCATTAATTTGATTGTTTTCAGCAATTTTTTACGTGATTTACGAGTTTTTTTTTGTACAATAACAATTTTTAGAACTTGGAAATAAATTTGTGAATAATGGTAATTAATTGCGAAATCCAGCGAAAGTTGCCCAGGAAATAAAAATAATTAATTCTACAGCAGATATAAAATAATCACTTGTGTACAGATTCATTGTACATACTGTTTTCAACGATGAAAAGAATATGCTTTCCTTTGAAGAGAAAGGATGTCGAAGAGGTTAATATGGCTACAAAGATCAACTAATGATAAATAAAAAGGATCCTGGATAATTGCAAGAAAAAAAATAGAAATCTTAGCAAAGCTTGGATAGATTGTCGTAAAGTCTTTGACAGTGTGTCAAACTCTGAGAACGTTAAATCTTGAGAAATCCATACTAGACTATATATGGCAGCAATATTCATAGATAAATTGTAAACATATAAATGTCTAAGACAGATTCTGGTATAGTGAACCAACTTTTGTAGCAGTAGACCTGGCAATAGTTTTAATATAATCTTTCCTATTCATGTTAGCGGAAATCCGTGAAAGAGCAATGAGTCATTCTCCTGGAGGTTAGCATCTGTCATGCCGCTGAAAGACAGAAAGGATTCTCTCAGAATCTCTAAATACATAGCATAAGCACCATCCAAGGTGCTGCAGCAATATTCTAAGCATGGATGAATGGTAGACTTATAAATGTGTAAGGTAGATTCTAGCACAGTGAACCAACTTTCCTAGCAGTAGACTAAGCAACTGATTCACTATGTATATATATATATATATATATATATATATATATATATATATATATATATATAGATACATCAAGTGAGCCAGACAAACCTACCTAGGTTTCACCTAAACGGATCGTCAGGCCAAACTTTCCCTGACGATCCGTTTAGGTGAAACCCACGTAGGTTTGTCTGGCTCACTAGGTGCTCTACGGTTGTATTGAGCTCTTTTGTTAGTTAGTTGTTACTCGTATCGGGGTTTTTTCTTTGGGCTTCAGACCTGCATCTGTGCGATTTTCTTGTCGGCAGAAGTTCATGTTTGTAGCTCTTTCTTTTTTTAAAACCTTTTTTCCCTCGAGATTGATTTGATTGTAGACTTATAAAGATGTAAGACGGATTATAGAAAGATAATTCGTCTGGCACAGTGGATCAAATTTTTTTCAAGGAGCCGAGTTAGCAACTGATTCAATATAATCTTTCCAATTCTTGTTAAAATTTATCCCACTCGAATATTCTCAGATCGTTAAAATAAATAGCATACGTATCTTCTTGATTAATCTTAAACGACGCTTTTCTTCATCTTATTATTGCTTTTTATCACAACTTTTAAGGTTGGATACTCTTCGACCGTTAAATTATTAACCATTATTAATTTACTTGCCTTAGTACTTCCAGTATGAATATTTGGCTATATGTTTGTTCATCTTGTTTGAATACTTTTCGCCTGTTAAATTAAGTAGCATGCTTAGTTCCACTGTTAATCTTGGCCAAGACATTTATTTATATTATTGTCGCTGTTTGTAGAGGACGTTAAACATTTTCGTTAAACATGCGTGCGTTGATAACCCTGTCAACAGCGGCAAACCTCTCTTCACCTTTTGCATATGCATAAAAATACTGGGAACAAGCGGACTGTGTATACCAAGAGTCAGGCTCTTTCTCTTTCACTTTGGGGCGAGGTTGTGATAGGACGTTTAAATTAGCGCTCAATGCAATAGACGCACATAGCTTAGACAATACAGTTCCCTCACATTTTAACTCGCTAATAAAATAAGACCAACTTTTTTCTTACAAAACCTCTAAAGAACATTCCTTGAACCTGCACTTTCTTTCGGGAACTATCTTTGACATTTTCTCTGCAAAAAAAAAAAAAAAAAAAAAAGATACTTTTGGATTAAATCTTTTTATCTTCTTTTATTTCGCGCTCTCATTTGTCTATATTTCTCAACCAATCAACACCATTAGGATTTGTTCGTCAATACGCGGCATGTTCTAAACTTCAAACGACAACCCTTAACCTAATAACAACATGTTTATTAAATATTTCCAATCAAATACTCTCCGCCAGTTCGAGAAATAGAAAGAGTTATAAAATTTTGAGAAATTAAATTAAAGAGGATGAAGAATGATGAAAAGCGAAATAATATTTAGATTAAGAGCTTAATTCCGTTTAGCACAAGGCCGGAAATACGTGATTTGAATGTATTACTCAACTAGCAGCCATACCCAACTGGTCGATCAGAAAAAGCGTTCAATTAGAATGGAGCAAAAACAGCATCATATTTAGATGTAATGGGGTCTATCTTCTTCCATTACTTTAAAGTAATTTCATTAAAAAAACATTTTGAATTAATGCAGTTACTGCTATAACAGAAGTAGTCTGTATTTATTCAATCGAAGTTAGCCGGGGACATTAAGGCGTAAAACAGGCAACATGAAGACCCACTTCAGACCACAATTATTTTGAAATTTTTAAATTCAATTTATCAGTGTGCTACCAGAGATATAAAAGAGGATACATTTACAAAGCAATTGTTAAGTTTGATGAAAACTGGTTGAAAGATCAATGAAAAATAAGAAAGAAACCAGTAAAAATCGCCATTTTTCGCTATTTTTGAGGGTTTTCCCTATATGGGTGGACTCGATTTTCAAGTTAAATGACTGTTAAGCAATAAACTTATTGTTGACTACAATTGAGTGAAGTTTGTATTAGATTGCTTGAAAATTGAGGGAGTTTAAAGTTTGATATTTGTGTTGAAATCGATTTTTCGCTTTTCGCTGTTTTTCGCTAAACGCAGTGGCGTAGAAATAAAAATGAGGTATCATTGAGCTCATCATGATGTAAGTAACCTACATACAGAGTTTGAACGAGTTATCAATTTTTGATCACCTTTTCGATTATTGATTTTTAAAAATTATCGATTTTTATGCTAAGAACCTATCTCTTACATTGCACAAGGTATATGCCAAGTTTGATTAAAATCGGTTGAATGGATCTCGAGTGTAAAAAGTATCAGACAGACTGAGAGACACACAGACATCCTCTGTTTTACATATAGATAATAATGAACCAAACAAGCTTACTAGTTTTTACCCCTATTCAAGGCGCCCAGTCTGTTGAAGAAATTAATGATATAGTATTTTAAGCTACTCTTTGTTTATTGATCATTTCATGTGGCGCTTAGGGATAGGCATAAATGCACCAATGGAAGCTGTTAAGGAGTTCGTCGCAAGTGAAAATTTACTGGATCGAGGTGGCTATTCCAACGCCCATGTTGGACAACCTACCAGGGCTAAAGGATTTCAACTACCTGACAATATACCCATACCTTTCTCAGAGGAATTGGTGCGAAGAGTGAATCATATCGATTCGGCAATAAACATCACATCTTGAATCTCATTTAGTCGCATGTTATTCAGCCTGACGTCGTGGAGCCGCACAATAAAATTATAGTTATTACTTTAAGAATAATCCTCGTAATAGATAAACACAGACTGAGATATATAGATATATATGAACCGACTGAAATAGATAGATATAAATAGACTGAGAATGACCGATAGATATGAACAGACTGGATTACATAAATAGATAGATAGATAGATAGATAGATAGATAGATAGAAATGAATAGACTGAGATAAATAGATAGATAAGGAACAGACGGAAACAGATAGGTATGTACAGACTTAGATAGATAGATAGATAGATTGGGATATATAGACAGACAATGAACTAGCTAGCGAGAGAGATAGATATGAACAGAATGCGAGAAAGATAGATACATATAAACAGACTTGGCAGATAGACATGAATAGAATATATATATATATATATATATATATATATATATATATAGAGAGAGAGAGAGAGAGAGAGAGAGAGAGAGAGAAAGAGAGAGAAAGAGAGAGATATGAACAGATTGGGATAGATCGACAGATAGTTAATAAACAGACTGAGCTAGCTAGATCTGAACAGGCTCAGAGATAGATATGGACAGTCTGTCATATAGATGAATATGAACAGAATGCAAGATAGATACATTTGGACAGACTGAGATAGATAAACGAATAGATAATGGACTGACTGATTCATATATATATATATATATATATATATATATAGAGAGAGAGATAAAACGAGAGAAATAAACGAACTGTGAGATAGATATGAACAAACTGATAGATAGGTAGATAGATAGATATGAACAGAATGCGAAATAGATACATTTGAATAGACTGAGATAGATAGACGAATAGATAATGGACTGACTGATTCATATATATATATATATATATATATATATATATATATAGAGAGAGAGAGAGAGAGAGAGAGAGAGACAGAGATAGATAGATAGATAGATAGATAGATAGATAGATAGATAGATAGATAGATAAAACGAGAGAAATAAACAAACTGAGAGATAGATAGCAACAAACTGATAGATAGATAGATAGATAGATATGAACAGAATGCGAAATAGATACATTTGAATAGATTGAGATAGATAGACGAATAGATAATGGAGTGACTGATTGATATATATATATATATATATATATATATATATATATATATATATACAGACAGATAGATAGATCCCAAGTGCATTAGTGGAAAAATGAATCCACTAGAGTTGGCCAGAATTTAAACTTGACTCAACCCTTTCAGTTACCGCGCCTCTAAATGCCACTCTTGCCAGACATTTCGTTTAGAATTTAGTGATATCTTATTTAATAAAGGAAATATTTGTCTATTACTCCGGACTCCTTTGTGCGTTACATGAGTTGATCACCATTGACTTCATAATAGATAGATACCTGATAATAGACTGAGATAGATTGATACATAGATAGATATTTCGATAGATGTGAACAAACTGAGACAGAGTAGAAGAGAAACAGAAAGACAAACTGACAGACAGATGTGAACAGACTATTATACATAGATATGAATAGATTGAGATAGATAGATAGATAGATAGATATGAACAGATTGGGATACATAGACAGACAATGAACAGGCATCTATCTATCTAGCCTGCTAGCGAGAGAGATAGATATGAACAGAATGCGAGATAACATATAAACAGGCTTAAGTAGAGAAATAGATAATGGAAAACTGATATATATATATATATATATATATATATATATATATATATATATATATAGAGAGAGAGAGAGAGAGATAGAAAGAGAGAGAAGTGGGAAGGAGAGATAGATAGAAAGATATGAAACGACTGAGATAGATAGATATCAATAAACTGAGATAGATATGAACATACACTGATAGATAGATATGAACAGGCTAAGATAGATAGATATGAACAGATTAAGATAGATAGATAGATAGATAGATAGATAGATAGATAGATAGATAGATAGAAAGATAGATAGATATGAACAGACTAAGATAGATAGATAGAAAGATAGATAGATAGATATGAACAGACTAAGATAGATAGATAGATAGATAGATAGATAGATAGATAGATAGATATGAACAAACTGGGACAGAGAATACGAGATAGATAGATAGATATGAATAGACTGAGACACAAAGACAGGCTCATAGATCGATGGATAGATATGAATTGAGACAGACAGGGAGATACATCGATAGATAGATATGAACTGACAGACAGATCGATAGATAGATAAATACCACTAAATTGAGATAGATCAACAGAAAGAAATGAAACTAACGGACAGATAGATAGAAATGAACAAACTGTGTTACTGAGTTAGATACGAACTGTCGATAGATCAATAGTAAATAACTGAATTCGATATTGAAAATCTGCAGCAGACTTTAAATTCTTCTAAATGACGCGACTTTTCAAATAAATATGGCTTCAGCTTTCTTCCCAATCTTAGTCAATACATGTTGCTGCTTTTTTCCAGCAGACTCGTTGTAGAGTTTAGCGCTTCAATTACACCAAACGATGCTCTATTTCAACTTGAATTGTCTTCATTATTCGGACTATTGTCCTCATCTTTGTTGCCATATTTGTCACAACGTTTCGGCCGTTGTACGACCCGGTCTTCTTCAGGTGGTTGGAATATCGAACTGAACCCTTTATTTCGCTCACTGGCGTATACTGTTCTGGTTCCACGTGCCATGTCTAATGGATGTCTTTATCCACTCTGCCATGTATCCTTGAGGCGTTAGTTAAATCCAGTGACAGGACCCAAAGAGTGTGAGTTCAATACCTGGTTAAGGCGGTGGAGGGGAATTAACAGGAGATAACTGATAACTGATATCCATTAGACATGGCACGTGTCTTACAAAGTGTGAAATTAGACAAGACTATTAGCATTTTATCTAGTGATAACCCCCTACACGCGAGGCGAGAGCTCCCCAACTGCATCAGATTTTTAACATCATTAAAAATCGGCAACGCACCACCCCACCAAGGGAATGTCATCTGCAACAAACCCCGGTGCCTGGTCTGCAAACACATCAACACTCACCACACCTAGACCCCCCCCCGGTACTGATGTAGTATTCAGACCACCTGCTCTAAGCTGTGGCAGTCCAAATCTGTATATTTATTTTTCTGTCACAAATGCGAGACGAGGGATATATATATATATATATATATATATATATATATATATATATATATATATATATATATTTAAATATACACACACATATATATATATATTTATATGAAATTAATTAAATCCGACAAGTATTTTATATGTTTTTATATATTATTTATTACGTTGTCACAAAAGTTCGGAAACACTTGCAAAAAATTGAAATTCTACTCACCAATTAATAACAAAAATAACAAAAATTATTCCTCAAAATAAAGAGCATCATTTTCCAAGACTTTCTGCCATCGATCTGCAAGCTTTCGGATCTGGTGAAAGTACCATTCAGCCGGCTTTGAATCAAAGAATTCTTGACATGCTTCCTCGACTTCATCAAACGAGTCGAATCAGCGGCCCTTCAGAAAGTGTTGCATTGAGCGGAAAAGGCGGTAATCTGATGGAGCACAGTCAGGACTGTAGGCTGGATGTGGCAGAACCTCAACGCCATCCAGCTCTTAAAACTTGTCTTTGGTCTTCCTGGCGGTGTGTGGCTTGGCATTGTCCTGCTGCATCGGTTGATCAGAGCCGGGTACTTTTTCTTCAACTTTTCGTAGACCCGCTCCAGTTGCTGACAGTAAAGTTTGGCACTGATGGCATGACCATTCGGAACCAACTCAAAATGCACGATTCCTTCAAAGTTCCACCAAACGCACAACATGACTTTCTTGCCGAATCGATCTTGTTTTAGAACCGACGGCGTCTCTTGCCCTTTCTGAACCCAACGCTTGTCTCGATTGTGCTGGACCAGATAGACTCATTTCTCGTCCGATGTCAAATGCGCTTCCAAAAACGCTCGTCCAATGGATTGCTGAACAATTGACGGCAAAATTCAACTCGTCTGTTGGCTTGTGCTTCGGTGAGTTCGTGCGGATTTTGGCGCGGCTTTTTGTGAACAAAATCAAGTTGCTTCAAGTGTCGGTGAATTGTCGATTTGCCAACTCCAAGCTCATCAGCCAATTCTCGAGTGCTCGATGAAGGCGCAATTTCCAACCCGGTTTGCAAGTCTCCATCATCCAACTTTAACGGCCGTCCCGAACGAGGCTCATCTTCAAGACTCATGTCGCCAGAATCGAAACGCTTATACCACTTTGAGATCGCCGCATATGCAAATGTTCCTTCACCTTCGGCAGCACAAATCTCTTCTGTAGTTTTTCTGGTTGAAAGACCTCGCTTCCAGCAGTAACGAATCAAAACTCGCAGCTCAATTTTATCAAATGCTATCTGGAATACAAAGATAAAGATCACTATAGCAATATAAATGCAAAAAAAAACAATTAAATAAAAATTTTAATGAAATAACATTTTTTCAAAATTAACAATAAAGTAAAAAAAAGAACAATTAAAAATTGCATAAAAATTCAATTTTTCGCAAGTGTTTACGAACTTTTGGGACAACCTAATAAAATAAATATTTATGTTTATATTTTACTATTTATATTTAATGTTTATATTTAATATTTATACTGTTTATATATATATATATATATATATATATATATATATATATATATATATGCATATATTATATCTCTATCCATATATATATATATATATATATATATATATATTTTATGAAATCTTCATAATCATATATATATATATATATATATATATATATATATATATATATATATATATATATATATATATGAAGAAATATAGTCTGAAGTTGTGATATATTTATGGGATAAAGTGGCCTAACCATTGCGTCTAGAATGAAATAGAGTGTTGCCTCGAAATGTTGACTTCAATGTTATGTTCCATTATATATATATATATATATATATATACACACACACACATATACACACACACACACACACACACACACATATATATATATATATATATATATATATATATATATATATATATATATATATATGAAAGATCCTAGAAAAGCCGCCTTAATGACTGGTAATTTACCTGTTTCTATTTATTGAACTCTTCTGGTGTCATAGAAGCATGTTACTCACACATACATACAGTACCCCACATGATAGAGAAATATAGTTTTCATTCTATGAAATAAATTTAGGTTAAAAATTACATCTTTCAACAGTGATGTGTTGTGATTCCACGATTCTAAAACAAAAACATAACATTTTATATCTTAAACGTAAGAATCTTTATACGTTCATAGATTTCTTTTGTCGATATCGAAATCGTAAACGCAGTTATATCCACTTTGATCCAATTATAGCCACTTTGATCCATTTATAGCCACTTTGGCAATGAGACAACATCTCGCTTACAAAAGAACATCCTTTTGTTTGCGCAGAAGTGTTATTGAGAAGAAGAAAAGACTAATAGGAGCCAACAACTTCCGATCGGACTCTGTCTAGCAGGTGGTCCAATCTTAGAGGTTTTGAAGATGAAACCAAAGCCAGATCTTTAAGAATGGTTCTTCATCTATAGAATTCATTCTTTCACGAATAGGAAATAAAGTTCGAGACAATCTGACCGGCTGTTTCAAGGTTTTCGCCTCTCAGAACATTTTTTTCTAATCTTCAGCTGTACTGAGGTCTGTATTATTATCCTGTTCTGTGTAGGATTTATAAAAACAGGAAGAATATATCACGAAGAATTAAAAAAAAAAGCGATGTAAAATTCAAGGTGTCTGCCAAAATATTTATTATTATCTTATAATATTTCTACTTTCGTTTATCCTCTCCACTTGAATGTTGAAAATCAGAAGAGGCCACATATCCGGACGGAGAGAGCGTTGAGGCCAAGAAGCAATCAGCGTATCATAAGCCCCGCCGACAGAGCGACTATATTCAGATTCTTAGAGGAAAGACATGAAATGGAATTCAATACCAAGCGACTATCATGACTAGTACAAATCTTCTTTTTTAATTCCACCCCAAACAAACCTACTAAAACATAGAGGGTAACTGAGTGTGAAGGAATATAAGAAAAAGAAAAAAAAACATTAAGGAGTGAGAACAATAAAGGAACATAAATTAAGAAAACAGAAGATAAACATTGTCGCGTCCATAAAGAAATACATAAATAAAATTTTTATCTTACTCTTACTGTGTTCATAAAAATTAAATAAATAAAATTAATTATAGTGTCCAAAATAAATACAATAAAATAATTATGACACTTATAATTATTATTAATTCACTCGTTCTAAATCAATGAGAATCGACACCACTTTTATCCTCAAGACATTCCCAGACACGTAGCCCTCTCACAAGCGGACAGGCAGTCAACACGGTTAGGCCGTTAACACGTGCGCCAACGAAAATTTCGGCTCCTATTCCTTTTTTAGGCCATAATAGTAGCATTTATCTCTTAACACTCAACAGAAATTTGAGGTATGAAAACCCCAGACGCTATTTGTATTTTCCAACTAAATTATCTGCACGCTCATTGCACAAATCTATAAAACATACGAGAAAGACATTTTTATCTTATCATTCTGTCGGATTCCCATCCATATTTAACTCCGTATTACTGTCTCTGGTTTCTCCAACAATACATAACAACCAGATTATAAATAATACTCGTCTTTCTGTTTCTAATTTTTATGCGTATTTTTGCATATATAAATGTTAGTGCGTTTATAATTACAGTAGAATCGCCCATATACGGAATCCTTCATATTCGGAATCCCTCATATCCAGAGTGTTTTATATTCGGAATCCCGCATATCCGGACGTGATTTTAGTGTGTATATTTGAACTATTTGTGTGATATGCAACTGATTTGAAATTTCTGTTGCTATGGAAAGAAAGCCAGCATTCAGCTATGACGATTGCAATAACGCACGCAGAGTTAAAAAGTGTCTTTCGTTTAAAAAATTTCAAGAACAAAAGCAAAACGAAATGTGTAAAAAGTTGAGAATGACATTAGAAGAGAAAGAATCTTCATGCAACAGCGATTAAAAAATCCTCATTACATTATTTGTTTTGCATACGTGGCATATTTAATTTAATGAATTTTCATTAACATTACATAATTTATTTTTTCTTCCTTAAAATCAATTTTGTTATATTTCACTCACCATTAGCTTATTTTGTTTGCTATAAAACATGGAAAATAAATGTTAAATCTGTTTTCAGCTCTTTTATTTTAATCTAAATATAACCCCTCATATCCGGACTTTGTAACCAAATCCTCATATCCGGAACGCCTTCTTAATCCGGATGTCAGGGATTCTAATGTATTTACTTACTGTTATCCCCCCATATACGATTGACATTGCATTTAAATCTTTTAGCTTAGAACTGGTGGTTACGTCTAGCCATTTAAACTGTAAAATGATGAGATCTTGCCAATAATCTAGTATTCAGCTTAAATTCATAAAGTCTAGTCACGCGAGAGGAGAGTTTATCAGAACAATTGTCATAAAAGTCATTATAGAAAAGGCAGAGGGAAGCTACGTTATGGTAATGGGAATCTGCAACCAGTTTAGGACAAATTTGCTTGTGGCACAAGGCAGCAATATTCAAGCTTCCTTTCACAACATTCCTCGTCTGTGAAAACGGTTTGATTGCTATTGGCTCTCAGGCAGTCATTTTGTAATTAGTTTTCAACCCTCAATGAGTTTCTTAATGTCCCATTTCAAATAATATAGACATATCATTTACTTCTTAATTATGTTGTTATTTAATCCCTCCAGTGCCCTTCCTAGCTTTGATGATAATGATAATGGTAATACTAGTCGTTTCCTTATAAAGAAACAGTCGGCATTCATTGAACGACCAGCCAGTGCTATTCGATTTACGCTTTTCTTCACTCCTTGGCCATCGGGCTGTGATCAAAGTGTAATATCTATCATCGGGTGGAAAAACAGCATTTTAAATCTCAATTGTGATTGTCTCTTCCGACAGAACATAGCAAATTAATGACGCATGCCTGGTTCCGGGGATTCAAACTCAGCGGCAAGAACGTCCCACATTACCCAAAAGAGAGAGGTCGGTAGAATGTCGACGCCAGCGCGACGTTGGTTGCGGGAATCGTGTCATTTGGGTATTGGCTCATGTGCACACCTATGGGCTTTCCACTATAAACCGGCCTTGTGCCATATCCCGACACCGTTGTGTGGGGGGGGAGTGATAAAATGCAAGTGTAGTATCTGTTCTTCTCATATCTGATAATGATGGCAATGCTAGCCGTTTTCTAAAAAGGGAACATCCGATATGCTTTAATCGAGCAACCGGTGCTACATTCGAGTTTCAAGAAAATAGGGCACACTGGGTAAGACGATAAACTACATCCGGCGTCGTGGGTAAGACGATAAACTACATCCGGCGTCGTGGGTAAGACGATAAACTACATCCGACAGCAAGGCCTCTGATCAGGAGAGTTTGAGGAGCGTTGAACCACCTCTTAATTGCTGGTGTTAACAGGCCAACCCATGTCCAGGGTAACATGATAAACTACATCTGCATCCTGGGTAAGACAATAAACTACATCCGACAGCAAGGCCTCTAATCAGGAGGTTTTGAGGAGCGTTGAACCACCTCTTAATTGCTGGTGTTAACAGGCCAACCCATGTCCAGGGTAACATGATAAACTACATCTGCATCCTGGGTAAGACGATAAACTACATCCGACAGCAAGGCCTCTGATCAGGAGAGTTTGTGGAGCGTGGAACCACCTCTAAATTGCTGGTGTTCCCAAGTCCACCCTGAGCCTAAGACAAACGATGTGTTTTGGAGCGTGCGAGGTTGCGACGCTAGAGTTCTTGTTCAAATCGATCTGGTGAGATTTTTTGGAATTTTGAAAAGATAGAAACACATGAAATTTCGTTGTGATATTTATATATATATATATGTTTTTTTTTATTTATTTTATATGTTATATATATACATATGGTTATTTTTAATTTATTTTGTTTAAGCGTTATTTTTGATGGATACTCGCATTCAAGTAGAAGCTCTAATCTTAATTAAACAGTATTTTTTATACAACTACTATCTACCGACCTAAATATTCAAGAAATCTTGTCAGGAATATATGCGTCCTCCGGAGTGTTTTGCTATACGCAACTTAGAAAGCCTTAAGCATGGAGAACCCGGTGAGAATCGAACTCACTACTCAATCGTATAAAACTATTCTGTGGTTTTCGATTTCCAAGCGCGACATGCCATAAAAGAGAGAAACAATTCGAAACGCTTTTTACGTGTTTTGTCGCCGCAGTTCTATATTTCATGGGTAACAGATCGTGGCAACAAAACAAGAGAGGTCACCAGTAACAACCAGAGTTGAATATGCGATTTGTGGGCGGGGGTCCACTCATAAAAATGTGTCCTGTTGGGTAACTGTATCCACTGTATACCCTTCTCGAAAGTGAGTACCTACGAAAGAAATGCTTAAAGACCGAAATCTGTAATCGAGTAATCTTTAACTATCTCGGGGCCAATTTAATGCTTGTAGACTCAATTTTATAAACGACCAATATTTATCTATCGAGGAACGCTGTAAATGCTTGTAGTCTCAAATATAAACCACCAATTATTTACCTATCCCAGAACAAAGTGAATACATATATACTAAAATGTAAAGACCAAATACTTATTGTTCACATATGTTCGCGCGCGAAAAGAGGGTGCGATGGATAAATTATCGACGCAAAAATGAAAAATAACACTGGCATCTCGTTTTAACAGCGATACAGGGAGCGATGGATAAATTGTCGTCTAAATTAAGCCAAACTTAAAAATAACACTGGCATCTGATTTTAACAGTGATACGGCGTGCGATGGATAAATTGTCGTCTAAATTACGCCAAAATGAAAATAACATTGGCATCTCGTTTTAACAGCGATACAGGGTGCGATGGATAAATTGTCGTCTAAATTAACCCAAACTGAAAATAGCACTGACCATCTCATTTTAACAGCTATACACCAGAGTGCGATGGATAAATTGTCGTCTAAATTACGCCAACATGAAAATAACACTGACATCCCATTTTAACAGATATATTTATCAAAATTACACAAAAATATCTTGAAATACAAAAGAGTAAATGTAATCAATAAAACCGCCATTGGCTTCAACCACGGCCACCAGACAACCTCGGAATCTCCTGCAACTCCTCTGGATGGTCTCCTTGTTTAATTTGGTGAATTCTGCCATAATTCTTGCCTTCAATTCATCTTTGGTGTTAAAGGAGTTTTGTTGGTCTCTCGCTCAACTGCACTCGCACATAATAATCAAGGGGGTTGCAGTCTGGGGACTTATGTGGCTAGATGTAAGGGGTGATATGGTTGTAGATATTGTCTGACAGCCAGATTCTATTGCTT